GGGTCATAATACTCTACTTCTATAAGAAAACATAGGAAGAAATCCTTCTGATCTTGGGTTATGAGGCAAGGATATCTTAGATTCAACACCAAAAGCATCATCCATAAAAGAAAAAAATAAATTAGATAAATTTAATTTAAAAAATAAATTAGACTTTGTCAAAGTCAAAAACTTTTGTTTTTCAAACTCACTGTTAAAAAAATGAAAAGACAAATCACAGACTAGAAGAAAGCATTTGCAAATCATGTATCTGCTAGAGGACTTGTATCTAGTATATATAAAGGATTCTCAAAACTCAATATTTAAGAAACAACCAAGCTATTTTTTTAAATGGCATAACATTTATACGGACTCCAAAGATATACAGATGGAAAATTAGCACATGAAAAGATACTGTTATCATTTGTTATTAGGAAATGCAAATTAAAATCATTACTATTTAACTACTATTTACCTATTTTAATGACTAAAATGTAAAAACTGACTGCCTGGAATGTTGACAAGGATGTAAAGGAACTGGAACTTTTTAACACTGCTGGTGGGAATATAAAATTACACCACTGAGAAAACAATATGACCATTTCTTTAAAAGTTCAACATACCTATCTACTGTATGACTCATCTTTCCATCCCTAGGCAGTTAGGCAAGAGAAATGAAGGTTTTATGCCCATAAAAATATTCATACATAACTGTTCACAGCAATATTATATGTAATAACCTCAAATCTAGAAGCAACCCAATGTCCATCCACAGGTAAATGAATAACAAAGTGTGGTAATCCATGTAGTGGAATACTGTTTAGGTATAGAAAGGAGTTTACTACTGAAAACCCAACAACATAGATGCATCTTAAATAATTATGCTTAGTGAAAGAAAGCACACATACAAAAAGGGTACACATTTCTGATTCCGTTTATATAAAGTTCTTGTTGTTCACTTGCCAAGTGTGTCCTACTCTTCTGCGACCCCATGGACTGTAGCCTGCCAGGCTCCCCTGTCCATGGGATGATCCAGGCAAGAATACTGGAGTGGGTTGCCATTTCCCTCTCCAGGGGATCTTCCCAACATAGGGAAATCCACATCTCCTTCCTTGACAGGCGGATTCTTTACCACAGAGCCACCAGGGAAGCCCTATATAAAGATCAAGTAGATACAAATTAACCCATAGTGACAAAAAGCAGACCAGTCATGGCTTGCGGCAGAGGGTGCAGGAAACTTTGGAGCCTTACAGTTGATAGGTTCACTGTGTTGATTGCGGTAATGGCTTGACAGGTGTATGGAGAAGTTTGGATGTAGCATATTGTACACTTTAAGTATATGCAGCTTATTGTATGTCAGTTATACCTCATTAAAGTAAAAGAAAGTGGTTAACAAACCTCTAAACTCTCACTCGTTCCCTGTAGTAAGTCCCTAGAGGACGTCTCTGGCCTTGATCCCATTTCTTCCATCAAACAGTACTTAACAGGAGAAGGCCTATGCGTGTACTGTGCCTTGTGGAGAGCACGGTGGTGGGGTACAGCAGAAGAGTCCAGGTGTCCAATTGACAAGGGGGGGAGCCAATTAACTGGACAAACTGAGTTTCTGGGATGTAGGACTAAATGGAGAAAGTACAATTTTTCTTTTTTACTAGAAGTCTAAGCACGAGATTTTTGTCTTGTATTCACAATCAGGTGTTAATTTTTCATTATAGTAAAAAGACATTTCAGAAAATTCCTTGAGTTTCTTAATGTCAGATTCCAAATGTGGTTATCTAGGCATTAATAAACCCAGCATTCAGGTCACTTTTTTTTCCCCCCAAAGAAAATTTTCGAAGAAATTTTTAAATGCTTGTTGCTTAAAATTGTTGCTATCGAGTAAAAGACCAAGTTGTTCAGCATCTTCTCTTCGACTTCCAGCAGACCTGATAATTAACCCCGGTATAGGAACAGACTGTTTTTAACCCCAAGCAGTTAGCAACTGCGGGTGCCTTCATGGCCACACAGACACAGACACCATGGTGCCCCCAAGCGCTCACGCCTGGGTGTTTTCTAAGCAGCAGTTCCAGTTCGAGCCGGGTGAGTGCCAGCAGCCTTGAAGAAGTGTCTAGTCTTTCTGTCGTTAATTGTAGAGTGCAGGGTTTGTGGTGAGGTCAGTCACTCAGCACAGTGGTCTGTGAGAGCATTTTTCCACTTGTAGAGGTGTTTTTCTTCTAGTCCTAGCAGCTGATCTCCCTGAGTGCCTGTAAGTTCAACTTAAGGTCATATTCATTATCATTTCCATTCTACTTTACCTCAGAAGTGGGTCATTAAAATTATATTTCCTAAACATATTAAATATCAGAATAATCAAGAAAAGATAACATTTATATATACAGCAAGTGGTTTTTATGGAGAAGAATCACTGAGAGAGATGTTTTGCTATTCTGGGGCTTTGTTGAATAATTTTTTTAAGTTTTTAGAATTGTCATGGACTAGATCAGTGGAAATTGCCCTGAACTCTTCCCCTGGAAACAGTGAGCCAAGGGTCTGGCCTGTGATTACAGAGTTTTATTCCAAGGGCTATTGGGGCAAAGTTGTTCTTGGAGCTCACACCCAAGCACATTGCAGATTTCTGAGACTCTCAGATGGTAGAGAACCAAGCTCCATCCTGGACCTGTCTCCTTCTTCTATCCCAACAGCCACAGTCCAAGTCGCCCCCTCTCCATCATGTGCACCGTGGCTGCTTGAGGTGGTGCTATGTATTCAGGAATTCAGGCTAAAGAGTTTAAGTTCTAAAACCTGGAATATGATGCACTACACCTCACTATTCAGAGCCACACTCCAGTTGTCCTACAGAAAGCTCTCCTGTCCTGGGGAGGCCAGATGCAACAGGAAGGGTGGTAGCTCAGGTCAAGAAAGCAGGTCCATCCACAGTTTGCAAGCCTGATGCAGAAGAGTCAGACTGTTTTAATACATCTTTTTAGCCTCCATTTTATTTTGTATTATGTATGAACTAAAATTTTAGTTCAATGTAAAAACCAAAAAAAAAAAAGTTAATAGGAAAAGAAAACCTTTAATCATCACAGAAATCTAGGTTTCTAATCAAGTGATAAAGGTTGATAAATTGATGGTATCCAGATCATGACTTTAAACTCCCATTGATCTAGTGAGTAATCAACATATTGCACATATGCCGCTCTCTTGGCTGACCAAGTGTGAGTCTACATTGCCAAATTAAACATGAAGAGGAAAGCTGGCTTTTAGACAGCCTGCCTGCAGTGTTCATTTGAAACAGCTTTTAAGCAAATACAATTATGATTGGAACTTATCTCAACCAAGTGAAATTCTTTCATTGGTCATGAGAGAGAGAGCAATCCAGAGGTGAGGTTGCTAGGTGGACCACAGAGTGTCCCAAGGTCATTAGCCTATCTTCTGCCAACATAAGGTGGTTCCAGAGAGTCTGCCTAAAGCACACCACAGCTCAGTGACCGTCCCAGGCTCTGCCTTGCTCCCACCCTCCCAGGGCATTCCCTCATCCTTATTCCTCCCTCCAGTGACCTCACTAAGTTACCGATGGAAAATTAAGGTTAAAAGGCATAAGCTCTTCCCTCCCACCCTTGGCTCTTGAACATACTTTTCTTTTTGTCTACTCTTCTATTCCGCCTCATTTTTAAGGCTTTTGCCTGCTTCTGGACCCTTGGCCTCATTCGTTCTTGCTTTCCCAGGGCCTTACTCTCTTGGTTATCAGCTCTCTTCCACAGTTTGCTCTCTGTTGGCTCCTTCTGCGTTGCCCTCAGACAGGCGCACCTTTCTTTCCTCAGGAAAACGACTCTTGCTGTCCCCCTAAACCACCACCTTCTTCTCTCACTCCTTTCACTGCCAAACTTCTGTAAGTATAATTTTTCTTATTGTATTACACACTGTTACACCACAAATGCCTGGAAAGCAGGAACCACAGCATACAACAATTCGTATTTGTCAAGTATCCAGCACAGTATGAAGTAAATGGGACACTGACTGAGGAGCCTAACAAGCCAGGATTCAAATCTAGGCTCACTCACTACTGTAAGTGGCCTTGGGTAAGTTACTTAATCCTGCTCATCTTCAGCTTCCTCATTTGTAAAGGGTTGGAGGTGGGTGATAATACCCACCTTCAGAGAATCTGAACGGACATTTTTCCAAAGACATACAAGTGGCCAAAGGTATGTGAAAAAGTGCTTGCTCACTAATCATCAGCAAAGTGCAAATTGAAATCACAAGACATCACTTCACATTTGTTCAAATGGCTAGTATCAAAAAGACAAAAGGTAACAAGTATTAGAGAGGATGTAGAGAAAAGGGAACTCTTGTGCATTGCTGGTGGGAATGTAAATTCGTTTAGTCACAATGGAAAATAATATGAAGGCTCCTCAAAATATTAAAAGTAGAGCTACCATATGACCCAGCAATCCCATTTCTGGGTATATTAGAGGGAATGAAATCATTATAGAGATACCTCATTGTAGCATTATTCACAACAGCCAAGAAATGGCAGCAACCTAAGTACCCACCTACAGATGAATGGATAATATATACATAACATATATAATACATGTTATATAAACATTATATACATAAACATTAGAATATCATTCAGTCATCAGAAAAAAGTAAATCCTGCCATTGCAACAGTGTGGATAAACCCTGAGAGAATTATGCTAAGTGAAATAAGTCAGAGAAAGATAAATGCTGTATGATCTCACTTATAGGTAAAACCTTAAAAAGCCTTACTCATAAAAACAGAGTAGAATGGTGGTTACCAGAGGCTGGGGGTTGTGGGGAGGTGGCAGATGGAGAGATGTTTGTCTTCCAGATTTAAGAGGAGTTAAGTTCTTGGGATCCATTGTATACCATGGCGACTATAGTTAACAATACTGTATTATATCCTTGAAAGTTGCTAAGAAAGTAGATCTTAAATGTTCTCACCACCACCAAAAAAAAAAGGTAATCATATGAGGTTATGGAGGTGTTAACTAACACTAACATGGTAACCATTTTACAATAGATTTGTGTATTAAATTACTGTGTTGTACACTTTAAACTTACACAATGTTATATGTCAATTATAGCTCAATAAATCCAGCAAAAAATAATGCATATCTTGCAGTGTGGTTATGGAGATTATATGAGATTATGCTTATAAAACCCCCTGGTGTGGTATCTGGCAAAAGACTGGCTCACTTCCCACTTCCACTCCTGTTAGGGATTCAATTGACTGAGTCACCAAATGGTCTCCCATGCATTTCAGTCAGTGTTCAGTAGCATGGCATCCACTTTTTGATCCATTTAATTCTTATTCTTTTCTTTGCCTTGTGTGTTTCAGGTTCACAACCAGTATCCAACAGAGTTTGAATTCAATCTCTATTACTTAAAGTTCTTGGCTTTCCACTATGTGTCTAATCGCTTTAAAACATTTCTCCTGGATTCAGACTATGAAAGATTAGAGCACGGTACGTGTTTGCATGCCCTTGTTCAATCTTTTTTTGTTAGTTTTATGTATTTTTAATTAAAACCTCTAATAAAATAATCACCCCCAAGTGTGGCAAGGCCATTTTAGTGTTTTATCCTGAACTATGAAAGTATGATGGACATGAATGAGTGAGATTTTGTGCTGTGCTAGATCTTAGGGACTGCTAATGGTCATCATGTAGCACCTTTGAAAATGTAAATCTGCTTATTACTATCTTATTATCTCCAAGCAGTATCACTGTTTGTGGAGGAACACCTGACTCCTAGTTATTCCATCCTGGTACACTCTGGTAGGTTAGTGGTCCCCGGGAAGCAACTTGCATAGCATTTATGGCCATGGGCTCTGGAGGAAACAGAATACAGTTAAATTTCAACACTGCCAGTTACCAGCCAAGTATCAACACTTAGGACAGGTTAGGTCCCTCTCTGAGTTTCCTCAGTTTCCACATCTTTAAAATGAGGATAATAATAGCACACACCCCTTTTTGGACCAGGATGACCACATTAGGAAATATTTGTAAATTTCTTAGCACAGTTGCTACTACATAGTAAGAATTCAATAAATTTTAGATAGCACATTATAATTGTATTGGCAGTAACAGTTCTAAAGAATAGATCATGAAAGCTGGTCAACCCCTGTGTAAACGTTCCCGAAGGGGATTTTACTATCTTACTCTGCTGTTTTTATAGGGAGGGGGAAATGGGGTTACACATGAGTATTTTTGTTAAGAAGACAATCAAAGAAAAGCAGTATGTTTACTGTTTATTTTCAGTATATTATATATACTGAATATTCCTAAAGAGTATTCTCTTCATGGCTGAAAATATTTACTAATGTTCTGAGTTTAAAATATGAAAGCAAGAAATACTGTTTTTCAGTGCATGTCATTAAACTCGTCTAGTACAGTATTTCATACTTTCGGTAAGGGAGACAGCACTGGTGAGACCATTTCCTTTCCTGTTTGTACTTCCAGACCTTTGTTTACTCATAAAATTGTCATTCCACATATCACAATCAGAAACCTTAATTTTTTAGTCACCTTGTGTTGGGAAGACATTAAATAGAGCTGGTTACAGTGGACATTAGAATCACTTAGAGAACTTTTTTAAATGACTTTCATCTGGGGCCCATTCTCATATTCTGTAATTGGTCTGAGGTGAGACCTAAGGACTAGGACTTTTTGAAGCCCCTGTGTTTTTGTTGTTGTTGTTTTTAAATGAGTGGCCAGGGTTGAGAACTACTGTTCTGCTCTATACACTTAAAAGGTAGAGAAGAAACATTAATTAGTGTTGGTGCTGGTTTAGTCTCTAAGTCATGTCCAGCTCCTAAAACTCTTGTCTTGGGGGCCCCTCATACTATAAGATTTTGTGCAGTCTTGAGCATGAGACATTCTTTTATGGTAAATAAAATGCTTGTTAACTTTTGACTGAGTCTTTTCTCAGTCAAGAAAAGACAAGAAAAGCAAGAAAATTTAAAGCAAGAAAAGACAGCACTGCCACGAGAGGCACTCTTCCTGGCCTTTTAAAGAAATACCTCCTGCCTCACCCTAACATACCTTCCTCTCTATTAAAACAAAGTAGGCTCATGTGAGTAACAGACTGAAAGGTACAAATATAGTACCTGAAATGCCACCCTCCCCAAGTCAGCTTTTAACTCACCCAAGGATACAGACCACACCCATCTGACATCTACAGTCTCCCTGACCTTGATGTGTGGTGTATATAAACTACCAAACAAAGAAAACACTTTAAATGGCTTTGTAATAAACAGCCAGCAACTTTATAAAGAAACATAAAATTATGTTTTTAACTGAGTCTCATCAAATCATTTTCCTTCCAGCTTTTTGGAAAAATGTGTAGAATGTCTGCTGGCATGGACCTCTGAATCTAGATGTAGACGTGGGATGTGGCCTGGTTGGGGGGGAGTCATGATGTATTGCTAAATACTTGGGAAAACTTCAGCACATGTTTTCCTTCCATTTGGATTTGTTTCCATATAGCTGTGAAGTCCATTCCTATCTTTAGCTTTGCTACAGTCCTTTCCTATCTTTTTAGTTATTTTCTAAGGTTTTTGCCCATGCAGTGATGTTTCTAGAGCCATACGAAATACTCCATTTTTCATCTGCTACATGCATCACATTTTTAAGAAAACTGTTGATTTATCTGACTTTTGTTTTGCTGATTTTTTTTCCAGGAACTTTATTTGATGATAAAGGAGACAAGCATGCCAAAAAAGGAATTTGTATTTGGGAGTGTATTGATAGAATGCACAAGAGGAGTCCCATTTTCTTTAATTATTTATATTCACCAGTGGAAATAGAGGTAAAGAAAGAAAGCATTTATGTTGCATTTTTGGAATATTTTGTGTTGACATTTTCCTTACTTTGAGTGTATATAAGCTGTTTAAGCTTTTTATAAACATTTGACTAGATTTCATACCAGAAGCTATTTAAAGGTTGATACAATTTGGGTTTAGATTATGATGCAATGAAGTCTGTTACCAAATTCTTGACCAGAAAAATTAGGAGCTGGCCCCCTAAACATAGAAAGGATAACTTCAAGAAACTCAGAACAGATCAACTTGCCCTGGGAAGGGAAAACAAACAAACTTGAAAACTTAGCGTGCTGTCTAAGCTAAAACGCCTAAAATACTTCAGAAAGGACTTCCCTAAGTCCATTCGTACCAGAGCCATGGAAGAACCCCTATGAGAAGCAGGAAGGTTGGAGCCCAGCCTAAGAAGGATGACTTCTCAGGGACAGCCATGCTCTGCCATGCCCGTATGCATGAAATAGGCTCTGCAGTGGAGTGGAGCTCTCCACCACCACTCACAGGCAAGAAGGCCCGGCCCTGGGCCCCAGAACAATAGGACCCCAACCCTCTTGGCCTTTCTCCAGATGCACCCTCCTCATGAGGTGTGTGAGAAACCAAGGGTACACGCTTATATGCTCCTCCTTCATCTAGATCACACTCTGGTACTTCAGAATTCCTTGCCCAAATTCAAATTACTTACCAGACCACTTCCCTAAGCCAGTGAGTGTACTCCTAAGCCAAAAGGCAGCTAAGGAGTAGCATTTGTCAGGGAGCAGACAAGAGTTCAGCTGCAGGGCTAGGGTGTATGCACATGTTCATATGAGACCTTCAGAGTATAGGACAGAGCTGAGTCAGGAGGAGCAGGGGTTTAGGCCAACAACTGGGAACTGGGACCAGCCTCCCCCAGTGCCGAGGAGTCTGAGAATTTTCAACTGAAACCTGGCCTTCTAGGTTGTTTGTAAATTATATTTGTCAGGGTAGTATTGATGTGTAATGTTTAAATATATAGACATATGTCATGAGAACCTCTGTTCATCCTCTTCCCTGGACCCCCCAGTGTTAGGGGCTGGCCTGCCAGTAAGCTTGGGCTACTTTGAGGTCAAGATGATATTTCAGAATTTTCTTTAAACAGGCCCTGAAGCCCAATGTAAACGTTTCCAGCCTCAAGAAGTGGGATTACTATATAGAGGAGACGCTTTCCACAGGGCCCTCGTACGACTGGATGATGTTGACCCCCAAGCAGCTGCCCTCCGAGGACTCTGAGCTGGCCGGAGGAGCCAGGCCCCAGAGCCAGAGGAGAACCGTGTGGCCGTGCTACGATGATGTCAGCTGCGCTCAGCCCGATGCTCTCACCAGCCTTTTCAGTGTAAGTCACCGCGTGAAGCCAGACTCCCAAGGCTCTTGGCCCCTGAAGGCACGTGAGGCCTTAGGAACCTGGCTGAGTGAAGACTGGTTCACCAGCTCCTGGCCGTGGCTCTCCTCACTCTGGGCTAGCATTCTTGCCAGCACTATAGGAACATGCGGAAACCAGACCGGCTCCCCAGCACCCCTGGAGAGCCAGGCGTGGGGACTAGAAAACAGTCTCAGTAGAAGTGAGTTTTTCATCATTACGAGGAAGCATTCAAGCAAGCAGAGCAGTTTGCAGCTCCCCGGCTGTTTCATCTGGCCAAGAGCCGGAGTCAGACCTGGGTTGTGACTTCTGTGGGTGCCTTACTTCCTCCAGTCAGAAGTGTGGGTAGCTGATGGTCTGATGGGAGTACTGCCAGCTGTCTTCTACAAGGAATATTCTGGAGTGAAGCCTTTCTGGCAGTAACCCCTGTAATGAGAGCAGCAACCCTGAGGAAAGGGTTTGAGCCCTGACACGGGCCAGACAGTTCCTGAAGAGTCTTCTCCATTCAGTCTTCTGACCAGGAGGAGCATGTGTGAGAGCGCCGTCACAGAGGCCGCTGCCCCGCTCTCAGTCTCCCTGGCCGAGGGAAATGCCAGGCCTTGGGCATTTCTTGGTTCATTCTCCCTACATCTGGTTTGAATCATCAGAGTCAAGGGGTTCCTCTGTCCAGGACAGACTTCTCATCTACCCAGCTATTAGGGTCTGGACATAGGCCTAGTGCTTGACCTTCTGCTGTGGCCATCAGATTTCCTATGGGCTGGCCAAGGGTGAAGGTGTTCGGGATACAGATTTCATCTCTCTATTTAAGCCATCTGTACAAAGAGGCCCGGTTACAGATCCTAATAAATCATCTTTGCCACAGTGCATCACACCAGCTAGCACTCCCACCACCACCGTTCCTGGCTTGGAGACCTCTGAGGCCCCGGGCTTACTGCAGTCTTTCCCTGCCGTCTGGTCATGCTCCTCCTCTGGCTCAGAGGAGGTGTGGCTCTGGGGAACACCATGATTTCTGTGAAATACTTGGTTGGCCAAGAAGTTCGTTTGAGTTTGTCCACTGTTACGGAAAAGCCCAAACGAACTTCTTAACCAATCCAATACTTATCTGTCCAAAAAAAAAAAAAAAAACCCCTTTTAATTTCTCTGTAGGAAATTGAAAGACTGGAGCATAAATTGAACCAAACCCCTGAGAAGTGGCAGCAGCTGTGGGAACGGGTAAACGTGGACCTTAAAGAAGAGCCCAGAGCAGACCATGTGAGTTGGCAAAGCCCTTTGAAGAGCTGCTACTGAGCTTCTTGAGGGCGCTGGGTCAGGTGGGGCCTCTGCCTCTGGTAACCCAGGAGGCTTATGGCCAAAGGGAGGGCTCATGCCTTGGGGTCCAGGGAAGAAAGTTCCAAATGACTGAGTGTCTCACTCTGCCACAGTGACATGGTACTTATGTTCAGTGCCCCGTATCCAGGGGAAATTACTGGGTTCTTTTCTGTCTCAGCACCTCTGTGGTTTCAGCTGATCTTCTACCACAGGAGGGGAGGCAAGAGGGGGATGCCAAGATCTTGTTGGCTCCAGAGAAATAGGGAAAGTGAAATATTTTAAAACAGTAAAATATGCCACTCTCTGTTGTTCACACCCCCTTTTTGTTTCTAAATTAAGAAACATTTACTGTAAAAATATTTTAATACCAAATACTCCGTTTTCTTCTTCTCATCACCCCTTAAGCTGTAGAATGTGGAATGGGCTATGCTGAGCCCCTTGGCACCCACACCTTAGCGTCCTGTTAGCCCTCAGTGAGGAAGTGGCATCCAGCTCAGGCATGCAGGCTCAGGCCCAGATAACACGGCTGATACACAGGGCGGTCGCCAGCCAAACCCACAGCAGCTCAGCTCCAAGCGCAACAGAGGGAGGTTAGAACAGATGAGAGCACTTCAGGAAAGGAGAGGTCAGCAGGGTCAGATGTCACAGAGGGTCAAGGAGAGTGGAGTATAGAAGAAAATATCCTCTGACCCTGTAAGAAGGGGTCCTCGGGGCACCATCTCTTGCCTGCAAGTGGGAACTCAGGGGCCATTATCAGACAGGCCATGGGTGGATGATGTCTTACTGCTTTTTTTCTCAGAATAAAATAGTTTGTTAATTTTTTTTCTGATTATGAATATGAGATATATGTATTCCTTTATAACACAGGAAGTTATAAAATAGAAATAACCCAAAATTTATAACGTAGAAGTAAACCACTATGCCTTCAGACTTTTAAACACGTATAAAAGGGATTTACTATAGACGTAGTTTTAAAACCTGCTTTTTTACTTAATATATGACATATGTGTCCTTCCATTTGTTACTGTGTATAAATCAACATCCTTTGTAACAGCTGTCTAGAATTCCATTGTTCAGAAATTTTTTTTTTAACTAGCTCCATAATTATAGGCATTTAGGTAGTTTCTAGTTTTTTGCTATTGTAAAAAAAAAAAAACTCCAAGATAAGCATCTTTTTATACATATTTTATATAGACATATATATGGTCCAGTTTCTTTCTTGAGGTAAATTTTTAGAAATGAAATTATCGGATCAGTTGCTTAAAGTCTTTGTAAAGTCTTCCTGTCTTCTGGTCTGTCTTTTTCAGCCCCAGAGATACCCTTCGGGCTCCCCAGGAACTGTGTCCACCAACCTCCCTTCTTATCAGAAGAGGCCTCAGCTGCACCTTCCAGACAGCAACCTGGCAGAGGAGCAGAGCACCGGTGTGCCCCCATCCAACGGGGTGGACCGCAGAGCAGCCACACTGTACAGCCAGTACACGTCCAAGAACGACGAGAACAGGTGAATGTGTGAGCCCTGCCGGGGGGGCAGCCACGGCTCCCCCAGCCCGCCACAGCCACACCGCAGGCCCTCGACTCAGCAAGGCCTGGGCCGTGCCACCTTCTGTCAGCTTCAGATGGATCCGCTGTAATTCTTTGTTTCTGTTTTAAATGTGTTAAATGGTTCTTGGAAGAGGAAAAGTCGAAATCACAACTAAAATAAGGCCAGGAGGTTGTAGTTATTTGTGGCGGGTCCTACTGTCTCCTATCTGCCGGGTCTTTTGAGGGAATGTGTGTTAGTGAGCACTTCTCCAGTGGCAGACTTCTGAGATCCAGCACATGCTCGCCCAAGCCGAAAGGAATTTGCTCACATCAAGTGAGAAAGCCAGGGTGTGCCAGTTTCTCAGAGTACCTTCAGGCTTCTGTCGTTTACCAGCTCTGCTTCCTCGTACAGGCTGCATGAACCCCAGCGTGGCACAAAGGATGGCTGCTAAGAGCTCCAAACCTCACAAGTTTGGTAATCCCAGCAGAATGAGGCAGTCTTCCCCTGAGAGTCTAGTAGAGGAATTCTGGGGGGAGCTCTGACTGATCTTTTTTGGATCATCTAGGGGAAACAGCACATAGTAAAATCATATTAACCACCATGTCATCATTACTTCTAGGTCCTTTGAGGGAACGCTGTACAAAAGAGGGGCTTTGCTGAAAGGTTGGAAGCCCCGTTGGTTTGTTTTGGATGTAACAAAGCATCAGGTAATAAACACCATCACAGCCTATAGCAGTCACTTCTCCCCAGGCAAGGCTCCGTCCCTGGCTGTTGTGCGACTCCCAGCAGACACGCAGAGCCCCGTGTACAGAATGCTTCCTCTCACCAGCTACCCGGGGGCTGCTCCGTGGATCCAGTGAGAGTGCACGCGGCAGCCCTGTGAGGAAGTGTGGGTATGCGCAACAGAGGCAGTGACCGTGGAGCCCAGAGCATTAAGAGCAACAGAACTCTGCTTCTTAATGCTCATGCGTCTCCTGCTGCCTGCTGTCCACAACCAGGCCAGGAGAGGACCTGAGGGCTTCAGCGTGTTGCATACCACATGCACATACAGAGCCCGTGCCTGTGAACACTCTCCAGAATACAGATCACTTCGTGTCGACAGCACAAAGCATCCATTCAAAGTCTAGGGCGTTAATTTATTCAACAAACATTTCTTGAACACCTTCTCTGTGCCCATCCCTGTACTAAAGAAGGCATCATTATCCCTCAAAGGTGACAGCAACAGAGGAGGGAGGGAGCTTTAAAAAAGGCAGAAGGGGATGTGCCCATCCAAACCTGAAATCCGCAGTGGGCGGACACCAGCCTGGACCTCCCAGTCCATGCTGGGAAGTCTTTTCCCCACTGTTAGGTTCTTTGCTATGGCTCTAGCCTCTCCCCCCGCTCTCCCCACAGTCCTTAGAGTCAGAATCTTTGCTCCGGTGATCTTGGAGGTTAGGGGAACGTTATGCAAACTTCCCGCCTCTTTGCATCGTTCACTGGAGAGTCATATGTCCTCCCATGGTCTGACCAGAGACTTCACTCTGCCTTAGAACTGACCAGTCAGCCTTGAGCAGATTCTCAGTGCAAAAAAAAAAAAGATTCTCAGTGCATTTATGTGTAACATGGAGTCTGCTGAGAAAGATATGGGCTGAACCCCAGTACGGTGCTCTGGTTGGAGCTGCGTCTAGATGACTCCTGCCAGATGAACACTTTATGTGGGGATTGACCACCTTTCACTCTGCTCAAGGAGTTTCATAAAGGTTACATGGAATCCTGTTGGATTACAGATACAGAGAATTTTTTTTTTTATAGATATGCAGTGGAAGCCCTTTTTAGGCAACTGGACTTTAAACAGCACTGTCTGAAATTAGAGCCTACATTGTGTAGAAAAGTCCCATTAAACCACTAAGTAAAACATAGGAGAACATCATGATGTGTCTGTAATTTACAGTTACATCAAATTATACTTACATTCTTGCCAGTCTTTTAGATTTAATACAAAAAGTATACAGTTTTCTATTTGTACTACTCCTACCATGCCTGCAGAGAGAGGCAGAGAAAAGGCTGAGGCCAGAATCACAGTGACTGAGGCACCAGACACATTCCTGCCGTGTAACTTTCTGAAATCCAGACTGATTTAGTTCAAGTGAAATCCAGTCCTTACACATAGTAACCCTCAGTCAAATGTTGAGCTATTCATTGTTTTTCAAAAATCACTTCATACCCACCTGCTATTTGGAAATTTGCTCTTTAAATAGTATAGCTTGAACATATTTTCCTACCAGTTCAAATAGATCTTATTTCTTAAATGTTGTATAGAATTCCATACTATTGATGTACCATCATTTAATTAATCAACACTATTGACAGGCAGATACATCTTTTCAATCATTAGCTGATAGAGGGAGTGCTGAAGGAAACCTCTTCATTTATGTGTCTTGGCATGCTTGTGGGAGTGTTTCTGTAAGATAAATTCCTAGAGGTGGGAAAGGTGTATCAATAGGTATAAGCATTTTAACTTTTAGTTCATATTGCCACATTGTCCTCTAATTGGTTTCTGACTAATTATAACCCCACAAACAGTGCTTACAAATACCTCATGCCCTCCATTCAACCTGAATACTGTCAACCATTTTAAATATTTCTTAATCTAAGTGAAAAGTGAAATCTAATTGATTTCATTTACTTTTGATTGTTTAGGCTGTTCACCTTTTCAGATGTTTGTAGGTCACTCAAATTTTTTCTGTGAATTGCCATTTGAAACCCTTTGACCAGTTTTCTATTAGGTTGTTTATCTTTTTCTTCTCAATCTCTAGGAATTTTGTATATATTCTAAACATTAACCCCTTATTCATATGTTCCATATATTTTTTACAGTTATTGATGTTTTTATTCTTGTATATGTAGTACATTTTTTCAAATTTCAAAAAATGTGTCTTTTTACCCCTTCTCCCAGCTACCTAATTCTTCTTCCTAGAAGCAGACAGTTTTTAATTTCTTGTCTGTTCTTCCAGACATAGTTGAGCAAGATATGGGAAAGTATTCAGATACCTTTTGAAAAGCCCTGGTTTCCCCTTCCTGTGTCTCTTATATCCCCTGTGTCCTTTGGTTCTAGCTGCGATACTATGACTCGGGTGAGGACACAAGCTGTAAAGGCCACATCGACCTGGCTGAAGTAGAAATGGTCATCCCTGCTGGCCCCAGCATGGGCGCCCCGAAGCACACGAGTGACAAGGCTTTCTTTGATGTAAGTTGACCTTTGTCTTTTCCTGGCTCTCTGAACGTGATCCCTTACAGTCAGTCCATCCACTCCAAGAATGACGGGGCCTCAGAGCAGTTGATGGTGACTACAGATGGGCCACAGCCCCACCCTGGCTGTGGGAACTGCTGCAGAATTGAAGCCAGCACTCTTAATCCCCCAACCTGACCTCCCCCTGCTGTCCCTATGGCTCATAAAGGCTGCATGATGCTTTGCACAAAAGAGTCCTTCAAAAGGTATCCAACTACACTTGGAAGCAGAGGAACTCCTTGTTAGATATTGTTAGTTATTCACTCACTACCTTCTGTCAAGAACAGATGTTACTTCCCTTTCATATCTTTTTGTCTTCAAGCTTGATCATCCAAAAAAAAATCATTAGTCACACATGATGACTGCCTTCCCTGACATCTTCAGCTGGCCTTGGGACATTTTATGGGCCTCGTGATAGGGGACTTCTGTAGTCCCCAGAGCCAAGCAGGGCTTCATACAGGTCACACTCGAGTGCTCTCCTCAGGCTGTGAGGCCGTTTCCCTGGCTCTGAACTCCCAGTGAGGCCCCAGCTGAAGACTTCAAGAAAGAGATGGGAAGGGAACGTGAAAGCCCACCCCACCATGGTGTGGATGAAGCTCAGCCTTCTTGGCTCCTTTGCTGCAGGACTGCAGTGCATGGGTGAGGCAAGAGTCTCTAGCTATTCCAGACCCTCTTCCTTAGTCAAGAAGGTGCAAAGTCAGGCTTTTCTGGAGTAGCTGTCTTCTCTGCAGACCCTTCTGTTAAGATCCCCTGTGACTCTGGGGACCAGGAAAGTAAAATCACTTCCATAAGCAGTGACAGTACAGTAGTGGAGGGCAGAGAAATACGGAGGTTCCGGGGTAGTATCAAAAGGGAAGGTCACAGGGATTAATTAGCTCACATGCCCAAACCTGTAGACTAGCCCTGCCCTCATCTCTGCTTCTCTTCCTTTGTTTTTGTAGCTCAAGACCAGCAAACGTGTGTATAACTTCTGTGCCCAGGATGGGCAGAGTGCCCAGCAGTGGATGGACAGGATCCAGAGCTGTATCTCTGATGCCTGATGTCCATGGTCAACCCACACAGAAGAGGGAGGAAGGGCTTGTGCTGCCAGATAGGAAAAAAGTGCATGAATCCTTGAAGAGCTGACAGCTTCCTGCTCGGTTCTGATGAGTCATCCTAGGGCCTGAGGTCCTCCTGCCCAGACTTGGCCATTCCCCTCTCTCAGCAGTTGCTGCGTCTTCTTAGCCGGAGGAGATGTGTCACACACGTCTGGTCAGGAGCCCCAGGCCCTCCCTGTGTCCTGCACTAGGTTGTTCTAACCCAGTGGTTAGAACAGTCCCTCGTGGTTAGGGATCAGAAGAATGCTTCCTGAGCCATCTGTCACCCATCCCCTAGGCCAAGCGGCTACCACCCACCTGGGTCCTTCTTCATGAAAGCTGGATCCTTTCTGTTCTCCAAGGTCATAACTTCTTGGAGAACTTCCTGACAAGCAAAGCTCAAAATCCTCCAAGACTATCTTCCATTCTGCATAGGTTTCCCATTGGAGGTTCCTGCTCTTACTGCCCAACCTTAGAGATACTTGGTTCTCTGGTGCTGCCAAAGGTGCTTCCAGGATCCCTGCTCGGCACTGGGGTTCACAGCAAGACCACCAGTGCTCAGGCAGGCCAAGGGGCACACAGAATAGCCTGATGGGAAAGATTGGCCAGGGAATGGTGCAGTAATCACCAGGCCAATGCAGGAAAACACTGCTTCCAAAATACTGAATTTTCTAGGCCAAAGGTGCCCTGAGGATCCAGGACTTTGTGGTCCCATGTATTCTTCTGCTCCCTGACAGCTTCTTACACAAGATAACATGCAAAAAGCTGAATGCACTAATTCACAAAACAGCCACTTGCACTGAACTCTAATAAAGTGAAGATGTTGGAGAGACAGAAGCAAGCTGTTTATGAGCATACCACCCCTGTGACAAGGGCTGTGTAGGCCGCAGTCACACCGTGGCATGACTGGAAACCCAGACAGCACCTCTGCACGTGAACTTAAGGACTTGTTTAGTCGTTAGATTTTCTTTACTTTTGATAACCTGTGTTTGTCCAGCTTAAGATACAGGAATGCTGTTTGTTCACAGTGAACAGAGACAGCTTTTCTGCAACAGCCACTGTGGTCAACTGGACTCGTAGGTAGCTAGATCATCACATTTGTTTTGAAATGTTAATATGTTAAATACCAAACTAATGTTTCAAAAATATGTATATATGATTTCTATACGCTTGTTTTTCAGGTAGTATGCTTATAATTTAATATAAAATTAACTGATTCATTCATAAGATTTCAGTAATTTTAAAATGGTTCCCTTTTTAAAAAACCACTTTGTAGGTGAAAAATAAATCAGATTTTCAAATTTAAAATTATCTACACACTAGGAAACAGAACTGTGTTAATATATAAGAAATTCGGGGATAATAAGAATGAAGGATTTTTCTATCATTTTCATTTTATAAATTGCCACCTGTGAAAATGGTTTTTGCACATTATTTGTATTTTTCTTTGTATATGAAATAATTTTTTGTACTCTGTAAAATATGGAGCCCACTGTACCTTCAGCTATTTGAGACTTTACACAGTGCTTCTTTTGTAACTGGATTCTTTTAACTTTCATGAAGGCACTACAGGCCTTGTATTCACTAACCACCTTGAATTAAATTTATTTCTTAAGAAAAAGCATCCCTCACTTACTGAAATAAAGTTCATTGTGGGATACTCAGGAGGCAACACTCATGATTCATACATGGGACTAAAAGTTCAAGGGCAAAACACAGCATAACCCATTTCTTGTCTTGGTTCTATTAATGTCATCACTGCCCTTTGCTCAGGAAGTAACCAGACCCTGGAAACGCTGGCCTTAGCTTCTGGGTTCTGAACACACTGCTGCGGAGTTTAGGTAAGAGGCCTGAGGCTGCCACTCCCACCCTGTGCCTCTGATGAGCTGTGTGAAATTGGTGAAGTCCTTTACCTCTTCCAGATTGCAGTTTCACCACCTGTGGCATATGACAATTGGCAAGAATTTGAGGCAGGAGAAATCAAATTCTAGTTCAGAAGCAGATTTTTCTGTTTCAGGAAATTGTTAAACAGCACAGTCTGGACCACACTTCCTCTCATTAAGCTCTTGGAGTTTACCTTGGGGACCCCGACTGCATCTGGACAGGGAGCCAACAGAATGCAGGTTCTCAGGGCTGAACCCCCAAGTCTGGCGATCCAGGGAGAAGGAAGGGCCCCATCGTCGTCCTCCTGAGCCTTCCAATTTCCTGAGTCTCCAGGACTCCTGGGACCTGCCATTCTGCACGCTGTGACCCTGACATGACTAACAAGTGGAAACCACTGGGAGTGTCAGCCGCCTCTTCATTCCTCAGTCTTATCTACTCGGGGAGAAGGGCGCTGGGTTCCAAGGAAGAAAGACGGGCCTGGCACCCTGCCCCTGCGGCTCCCCTAACAAGGCCTTCCTTTGCCTGGGTTCCTGCAGCCCCAGGGGAGCCCCACTCCCCAAAACCTTCAGCCCAGGTTCATTCTCACCTCCCAAGCCCGACTACCCGATGACCTCACTCCAGAGCTGGAGCGTTAACTGTTAATGTACGGCTAATTTGTTTCTCAGTGAAAACCGACGTTTATAGATATTTCATTCGGAGTTCTTTTAAGACTTGTTAAGTAACTCCATTATCTCATAAAGAATTTCTGAATAATCTCAAGATCTCAGGCTGATAACCAGGAAATGCCCTCAGTTACAGCAATCAGAGCTATGAATTAAGCCAAGAATAAAACAGTATGGATGAAGAGAGAAGACTTGGAGCAGTACTACCAAATAGATACATAATCAGGCCACTGTGAATCTTTTTTAAAAAATAAAAAGAAATTGATAAAGTTTTATAACATTTTATTTTCAATAATAGTTTTTGATAAAGTTTTATAACATTTTATTTTCAATAATAGTTTTATTTACCATAATCTATCAAAATTATTTCAACATGTCAATCAGTACAAAAAATTACTCATGAACTAGTTCATACTGAGTCCTCAAAACCCAGTGAGTATTTTGCACCTACAGTCTATCAGTTTGGACCAGTGTGTTATCTTTTTTCCAACACCACTTCTCATACAAAATTCCTGTCGTTCCTTACTCCATTCTCCAGTTCTTCCACACCAGCTGGGTGTCCCCGCAGTTCATCCAGTTCAGACGCTTCCTCCCCAGAGTCAGCCCAGACCCCATAGTTGAGGGCCCGGCCCCACAAGACTGCCCCCCTTCAGATGCCACTTGCAAGTCCCAGGGGCCACCAGACTTTTGACCAACGCATGACCCCCTCCCCAGGTCAGTGATTGTCCAGAAGAAGGTACACAGCTCAGGAAGTACTCTGTGTTTATCAGTTTGTCCTAAAGGAAACAACAGCCACAAGGAAGAGATGCGTGGGGCAAGGATTGGGAGAGGGGGTGGCCTGCACCCTCCCAGCACCTCCCTGTGGTCACCAGCTAGGAAGTTCTCTGGATCCTGTCAGGATTTTTTCATAACCCACTCTCCAGTCCCCCTGGAGGTGTAATTTCCCACACCCTGTTCACATGTAGTTCTTTCTGGTAACCAGTCTGAAGCTATCTAGGGGCCCAGCCTGAGTCACTGCATTCACATAAATACAGGTGTGGGCAGAGGGACTCATTATGAATAACAAAGGCACGCCTTTTACTCAGGAAGTTCTAAAGGTTTTAGCAACTCCACGCCACAAACCCAGGACAGATCAAAAAAAAAAAAAAAAAAACTTTTTAAATGATACCACAACTAGCTACATTCCTGTGCTACTATGCCAGGCCGGGCAGATTTAGAGCAATCAGCCTGCTCGTAGCAGAGCCAAAGTGGGAAGTGAGAGACCTGGGTGCTGCGTCTAATTCATGATAAGACCGTGAACTACATCTCAACTTTAAGGCTTTGACCTATCAAATGAAGGACCCTGATCTGTGAATTTGTGATTCCAAGGGTTCACCTTTGCAGCGACTGAGGCTCCAAACTGTGATTGAAAGGATTTGCTGAAAGAGACCAAATCATCTAAATCAGCACTTCACAAATTGTAGTGTGTGTATGAATCATCTTGTTAAAATGAAGATCCTGACTCAGTAGGATTGAGAGGGGACTTGACATTCCATAGTCCTAATATGCTTGAAGGTGACGCTGAGGCTGCTGGTCCAAGGATCCTGCTTTGAGTGGTGCCAACAGACGTGTTCGTCCCAGTCCTCTGAGAAGCAGGCGCCAAATGGGCAGGAAAGGAGGGGAGGTTGGGAGAGTCAGGGGACCAGCGTGCAGGCGTGACCTTGTGAAAGACCCAGGGGAGGGAGGGAGGAGGAAAAGCTGAGTGGGAGACTTAGGCTGCGGAGCTGCTCTAAGGAAGCTCGGCAAGGCCGATGAGAAGTCCTCAGGACATCACGAACCATCAGAGCAACCCCACGCCTCCCCAGGGTAGCCTGCCTGGGACCCCCACCCCGCTCAGCCATCAGCATGCTGCAGCCAGAAAAACAAACACAGCAGCGGATTCCAGAATGCAGCAGCAGCTGGGGCCCCAGTCACGCACAGGCTGTGCGCTCACAGACCCAGGGGAGTCTTCTCAGCGTGGTTGCAACGCACCTCTCATAGCCAGGTTCCAGAGAAGCTCCTCCCAGTTTGCCCTGGGCCTCTCCTCCTAGCGAAACTCAGAGGCGAGTCCAAGGACTAATACAGCGCCCTTGATGCAGCTCATCTCACACCCTCCCTCTTCCCACTCTCCATTCTGAGTTCCCCTCACCCTCAGCCACCTCAGGACATGCTGAAGGCTCTCCTGGAGATGTGATCCAAGCCTTCATCGAAGGAGGTTGTTGTTGTTTAGTTGCTAAGTCGTTTCGACTCTGTGACCCCATGGACTGTAACCCAACAGGCTCCTCTGTCCATGGGATTTCCCAGGCAAGAATACTGGAGTGGATTGCCATTTCTTTCTCCAGGAGATCTTCCCAACACTGAGGGAAGATCAGTGTAATCAAACCTGTCTCAGGCCAAGACTGCTGCACAGGTCTCCTTCGGTTACAGTGGGGATTACTTGGTTGGCTAGAGGGTCACCCTCCTTCCTGCCCCCATCATGTAGAAGCAGCCCTGTCTCCTGCTGATCAGGGTCAAGGACCCCTGCTGGTTCCCAGACACAGGCGTCGTCAGTGCCTTGGTGACAGCCATGAGCTATAGTTCAGCAGGACCCTCCCTGTGTCCCTGGTCAAACACTAAGCTGTGTGGGACCCATGCCTTTGGATCAGGCCTTCAGTAAGTCCCCGGGCAGTGGTGCTGACTGAGGCTTTCTGGTCAGGAAAGGCAAACTCAAAGGAGATTTCCATCCCTGTGAAGATGAACCACTGGCCCTTCCAGGATGGAAAGAGCCTGAGGTAGCTGGCCTGCCCCAGGCAGGAGGAGTGCCACAGGCCAGCTCAGCATTGGGTCTCTGCTGCTGGCAGGCTGGGCACGGAGCGGGAGCAGCACCTAGAGTGGCCTTGGGATGTGGAAGTCTGTGCTGGTGGGCCCAAGTCAGCCCCCGCCTGGCTCTGCTTCGCCACTGTGGCCACTCCACTCCGGCTTGTCCTGCTGGTCTCACGTAGCCAGTGACAAGGACCAGCTAGTGTCAACCATCCAGGTCTATTTTGTTTACTTATTTATTCACTGCCTCCAATGTGCTGGGTGCTTTCTAATGGTCATTTAACACGTGGCACTGAAATCTTGCATGATGACTTCCCTGGTGGTCCAGTGATTAGGAATCTGCCTTCCAGTGCAAGGGATGTAGGTTCGATCCCCGACCAGGGAACTAAGATCTCACATGCCAAGGGGCAACTAAGCCTGTGTAGGGGGCAACAAGAGATACCTGTGTGCCACAACAAAGAGCCCACATAGCCAAAATAAATTTAAAGAGAAAATCTTCGTGTTTCCCCCAGATGTCCATCCACTTGTCTCTACCCTACATCTCCTCGTCCCTAATCTTCCCGTCCTTCTCCTTCCAGGCCCCTGGCCAAACAAGCATTTGGCCATTTCCCAGGACGGTGTGTATCTGCTCACTACCTTGGGCCACTTTTTGTACACGAAGTACATGACCAGGGACTCTGTTCACAGCCCAGCAGGAATAGTTTCCGTTTCCCTTTACGTCTCTGTCATACAGCTACTGCCCATCTTCAGCTTGTATGCATGTACCAAACCAACCCATCCATAAACCAAGCTCAGGCTTTTCCCTCCTCTTTCAGCTGGTTATACAGGACCTCCATGAGGTCATAGGTGCAAGTCAGGGACCAGGCCCTGGCTACATCCTCAAGCAGTCTACTGGTGCCCTCCGGTCCCACTCAGGCTCAGCCGCAGAGGGAGCATTTTCATCTTATGATGGTCTACTGCCAGGTCCATCCGACTCAATGATGCACACATCCATGGTGTCACACATCCAACAGACCCCACCTCAGACTGGGCAGTTTGAGATGCCCCCTGTGGTCTAACATTCTGTCTCTATCAGAGCCTAGTAACAGACCAGAAACTATTTCTCAAAAGGTTTATAATCGAGGACTTTCCTGGTGGCCGAATGATTAAAAATCTTGCTTGCAATGCAAGTGACACTGGTTTGATCCCTGGTCTAGGAAGATCCCACCTGCCACAGAGCAACTAGGCGCATGCGTCACAACTACTGAGACAGCGCTCTACAAGAGAAATCAGCGCAAAAAGAAGCCGGGCCACCACA